GGAAGATCGGGTAACCAACCCCGGTGGGAACTTTGGTCGTATGCTGACAGGGAAGGGGGAGCTGCATCGTTTTGGGAGGATGTGGCTTACAAAACCCGACCGTCTGCTCTCCATGTTAGGGGCGGCTCAAACAGCGTCTGACTGGCATCCAGTGGCTGAATACGAAATGCTTCTCCCCGAAAGCTATACCCAAGATGGCAGTCCCATCACGGCGGACAGGACACCTTAGGCCAACCACCTACTGTCTCCGAAACCTTCAAATTGTTACAGAAACCTATAGTGAAAGATTACGAACTAATTTTATGGCAACGACTTTTAGCGCTAAACAACGGACAAGAATTGGAACATGGAATGTACTGACGCTAGCCCAACAGGGTAAACTGGCACAACTCGCCAGTGAGGCCTGCCGTATGAAGCTAGAAATCCTGGCACTTAGTGAAGTCCGCTGGCCGAACTTTGGAGAACACAAGCTGCCTTCGGAACAGGTACTTTTATTTTACGCTCCGCAACATCGTGGAGTTGGCTTTCTGCTTAGCGCCCAAGCACAGGCTGCGCTTATCAAGAAGTAACCTATCAATGAGAGAATAATTGTTGCCAGATTCAGAATATTGGTCCGAAACCTTACCATAATCCAATGTTATGCACCAACCGATGCTGCCGAATTGCAGGACAAAGAGAATTTTTACAGTCAACTGATAAGACTCCAAAAGGTGATATCAAGATTTACACAGGCGACTTCAATGCGAAGATCGTCTCCGACAACTCGGACTATGAGCGCATTATGGGACGCCATGGTCTCGGAGATATGAGCGAGAACGGCGAGCTGCTTGCAGAGTTTTGTGGCAACAACGACATGGTGATCGGGGGTTCGCTCTTCCCCCATCGCCCAGTGCATAAAGTCACATGGGTCTCCCGTGATGGATATACAGAGAATCAAATCGACCACATATGCATCAGCCAAAAATGGAGACGGAGCCTTCTTGATGTTCGGAATAAACGCAGCGCTGACATCGCGTCTGACCATCATCTCCTGGTCGGAGAGATCCGCCTACGCATTGCGCGGGTTCAACGGCGGGAGGAGAGACTCGGGTGGCGATTCAACACACTTGCTCACTGACCAGTTGAAACGTTGGTTTGAGCACTTTGAACAACTTCTCGAAGTTTCAGCGGTCAACCAACCATCAACATCTCGGCATGATCCGCCAAGCTGAAGCTCCATCATTGCAGGAGATAGAAGCAGCCATCCGAAGTATGAAGTCCAATAAAGCCCCGGGGGTCGATTGCATATCAGCAGAGAGGCTCAAAGCTGACCCCATGCTATCCTCAGAAATGTTGCATCAACTATTCGTCAATTTCTGGGGCACCGCGACTTTTCCGGTCGACTGGATGCAGGGCGTCTTGGTCCCCCAAGAAGAGGGATCCAACTGTATGCGACAACTGGCGAGACATCATGTTACTGTGTATTGCTCTCAAAGTTCTGTGTAAAGTTATCCTCAATCGGATACAGGAGAAGATCGACGCAACTCTCCGACGACAGCAGGCAGGATTCCGTGCTGGAAGATCCTGTGTGGACCATATTGTCACGCTCCGCATCATCTTGGAGCAGGTCAATGAGTTCCAAGAGTCCCTGTACTTGGTATTCATTGACTACGAAAAAGCTTTCGACCGACTAAACCACGAAAACTTGTTGGGCGCTCTTAGACGCAAGGGAGTCTCTGATAAGATCGTCAACCTCATCGAAGCGCAGTACGAGGCTTTCTCATGCAGAGTGTTGCACAACGGAGCTTTGTCTGATCCGATTCGGGTAATCGCAGGTGTGAGGCAAGGATGCATATAATCACCGCTACTGTTCCTCATCGTAGTCGACGAGATCATGGTTGGAGCCGTTGACCGTGTACCGAACCGTGGGTTGCTGTGGCAGCCTATTACCATGGAGCATCTCAACGACTTCGATTTGGCTGATGATGTTGCGTTATTAGCACAACGGCGCTCTGATATGCAGCGTAAGCTCGACGACCTTGTGGAACGCTCCTCTGAAGCAGGTCTAACCATCAACGTCAACAAGACCAAATCGTTGGATGTTAACACGGAAAACCGTTCCAATTTCACGGTAGCTGGGCAGGCAGTGGAGAAAGTTGAATGCTTCCAATATCTTGGCAGCCAGATAGCATCGGACGGCGGCACCAAGAGCGACATAGGTGCACGGATTAAGAAGGCGAGGGCTGCTTTTGTCAGTTTGCGAAATGTATGGAGAGCGAATCAGATCAGTCAACGCACCAAAATCCGAATTTTTAACTCGAACGTGAGTCTGTGCTGTTATACGCCAGTGAAACATGGTGTGTATCAGCGGAGAACACTCAGAAGCTGCAGGTGTTTATCAACCGATGCCTGCGGTACATAATTCGTGCCTGGTGGCCCCACAATTGGATCTTGCATTCCGAGCTTCACACTACGACGGAGCGGAAACGAAATCTGGAAGCAAGCACTGGAATCGTATCCAGCAGGACATCGCAGCAGAGGCAGACCCAAAGGCTCGTGGTAGCGGAGCCTAAACAGTGAAATTAAGAACGTTGATCGAAATTTGACTTGGGCACAGGTCAAGGCCAAAGCTAGTAATCGCCCAGGATGGAAATCTTTCCCAAAGGCCCTTTGCACCTCTGATCCTGGAGGTGCGCAGGATTGTTAAGTAAGACTCTACTCAAGTCATCCTTCGAACCTGGATCTGATGGAGTTCCATCAGTATTTTTGAAGAGACATATTGCTAGCTTCTTAATTCCGCTTCATCGTCTGTTCCGCATGTCTCTCTCCTGAGGCATAGTTCCATCCTGCTGGAAGTTTGGGCACATGTTTCTTCTGAGTTGGTTTCGATCGTATTTTACCGGTCGCTAACTAAAATGTTGCCATAGGAGTTTGCAGATCAGCTAACTTCTTCACTACATCAGGTATACCTCAAGGAAGTCACCTGGGACCGTGCATTTTTATATTGTACTTCAACGACGTATCATATGCAGTTGACTTCAAAATCTTCTTACGATCCAAATTCGATTGAGCATTTCCAAGTAAAATTTAACTTCGCTACTCGTGATCCAAATTCGTTTGCCCATTGACAAGTAAAATTTGATTTCACTACTCGTAAGCCAAAATGCGCCATTCCAAGTAAAATTTGATTTTGCTTCTCGTAATACAAATTCGTTTGCAATTTTCCAAGTAAAACTTGACATCGTTTCTTGTAATCCAAATTCGTTTGCGCTTTTTCTGATGAAAATAATGAAAAATAGTTTTTTTGACGTAGGACTACGTTTGTGATTTCTATACTTTGTGGGGGTACACTTTGTGAAAATCGAAAATGGAACATGTAACAAAATTATGAAAGATTTTGAACGTTAATAACTCAGCTGCCCCTGGTCCAATTTTAATAATTTCATCACCAATCGATGAGTAATATTTCAACGCATCTGATAAATTTAAGACTTTATCATTTTTCAAAGTGTCACTGTTGAAAATTGCACGAATGTGCAACTGTTGCAATGATAATTAAAATAATCACCAATTGCCTGCGAAAAGCACAGATTTCAATGTTGAATTCCATCCGGTCTCATCAAACGTTGTTTATTCAATCACCGCGTGGTGAGTGATGATGTTCTCGAATAAACAACGATATGGTTGTTGCCTCTTCGTGAGTCGCTGTGGGCCATCTATGTTAAGCGCGTCATACTAACCACAGCACTAGACGCTGGCTATTTAGGTTTCTAGGGCGATTCAATGCTATTTTTTAGCATTTTCAAGACATTATTGGCGTTTCAGGGTCGTTTTGGTGGATCTATTACTTTTTGGCATAATAAACTTTTAAAGGTTTATTACTAATTTACAGATTCTTGGTAGTTTATGGCGTTTTACCGATTCTAAAACCCTTGATTTTCATGTATTGTAACTAAACTATAATTTTAACTATAAAAATGTTGATGGTTCGCGAGCATATACATTTCCCAAAAGAGGGTCGTAATCGAAAAAAAAATGAGACCCGATAAACTAATAGATTTAGCACAGACATACAAACATAACACATTGAATATTTCTCACTGTAAAACATCGTCGCTGAAACATTAGCGCCATCTGTTGAGTATACTGTGGTGGGTATTACGCTGAACAGATGGCGGTAGTGTGTAAACGTCAAACGCAAGGAAAATGACTATGCGCGCCACAGGTGGCGGTACTACCAACTACGATACTTTTAAAATAACCGTTAAATGCTTGTTCGATGAACAACTTACGAGTGTTATGTATGTTTGTCTGTGAATTTAGTGTCAAAAATTAAGATTAAAATCTTGATTTAAAAATTGAGATGCATGTCTATGGGATCGTTAAAAAATATCATTGTACACTGTTAAAACGAAGCTCTTTCAGATGATGTATAAAAAACGTTATATTTTTCGAAATCAAACAACCCAATTGTGGGCAGAAACCCATAAGAGTTGTTACATGAATTGTCTTCAATTTCTTTTAAATCTTGCTCAGTGTCCTGGGCTTCTCCTTATAATCCAAATGGAATTCACCTCATAACTTGCAAATACTTTTATTCAAAATACCTTGGGAATTCTCCGAAGAATTCACCTGAAGCTCTTCTTGCAAAGACCATTCTATATTTTTCAAAATTACTTTGGTATTCTCAACGGAAGTCCATAAGAATTCCGTGCAGAATGCCCGTGGAATTACGCCTATTGATTAAATGTCAATGAAATTAATGTCGTGGAAAAGTTACTCTTTTCGCCACTCCCTCACTACGTCCCTGGATAGGGGCCGTTCATAATCCACGTAGACCAATATTTAATATTTCTTAACTCCTTCCTCCTCCCTCGTATAGTCTCTAGTAGACTTTTCTGAAACCTCTTCCCCACCCCCTGATGCCTACGTAGACTTTCATAATTATGATGTGTCATGTATTGAAATATGTATTGTCAAAGAACTGTCATAAAACCTAATTCTGTCTACGCCATACTCACCTATCGACGATGACGATCGGTCCGTTGCGGTACTGCGCACAGCGCTCATGCACCCGCAGAGTGAAGTCGTAGATTGACCGGGGATTTGCCATGTCTGGCCACATGGGGTTCTCAAACATACGAACACTCAGTTCGTAATCGTCCTGGATGGACTGGATAACGAAATTTCGCACGATGTAGTTATTCTCTGACGTTTCCGACTCCATCCGGATGCGGTAATAGTCACTCTCCATTGGTTCCGATTCGTTTGGCCAGAATTGGAGAAAAGACTAAAATCGATAAAGGAATATTTAATTTAGTTCAACAGATGAAGTTTAGCAACGCATTACCATATTATCCGCGGAAGACAGTAGCACCACGGTTTGAGCATTGTGATCCCAGACCATTTGCCAAAAGTCTTTGAACGTTTCGATCAACGGGTGCTGCGTGACAACAAAGTCCCGTAACCGCCGGAATCCGTGCAGCCAGGTGGCATTGATATAGTCACTGCCTTCGACACCCGGCTTCGGAGTCAAATGAACCCGGCTACCTTCCAGTGGAACAAGTGAGCTACGATTTTTGATGGCATTCACTTGTTTCAGAGCTGAAGTCAAATTGATTTCCTTCGGCTGGTAACTGGTGATGAGCTGTAAAACAGAATAGAAAATGATTGAACAATTGATTTGAGCAATCCTAGAGCCTAGTTCCTACCTTATACTGACTGTCGATAAAATCAATATTGTTCACAAGTCCACCTATCGCATCCATTTTGATGTTGGTCTCACCGCTATCAATTGCTTCAACAAGAGCATCGTGAATAAATATATATTGCTCTTCCGTTTGCACTAGATAGTTTCGCTGAGCTCGGATGTACCTCAAGAAACCAAACACATTTAACATTCCCTTGGTCTCGATCTGTTTCAGCATGGCATCCAATACGATATAGGTTCCGGTTCGGCCAACTCCAGCACTACAGTGAACCACGATTGGACCCGCATCTGAGGGGTTGGCAGCAGTGGATTTCTTCACAAAGTTGATCACTGGTAACGGATGATCCGGTGTTCCATGATCCGGCCAATTGGTGTAGTGATACTGATAGACGAGTTTTTCCGATTGGGAAGCTTTCTTCTTCTTTAGTTTCGTATGTTTCATCTGGAACGTTCGCACTGTGTACGTTGCCATCACATCTTCCCGGATAAGGCGAACCTGGATCACACCGTACATCTCCGTTCCATCCTTTGGCCAATACATGTCGCACTTTCGTCGACCTCGTTCGACTAGGTTAGTGATCATTACGATAATGGCAACCCGTTGCTCCCAAATCATACGCCAGAAGCAGTCAAATGTTCCCGGAAGAGGCCCTTGAGTCCCTATGAAGGAACGTGGCCGCTGATATCCATCGATGAAGTTAGCGTTGATGTAATCCAAATGTTTCTTTTGACCGGGAACTTGCCGTAGATGCACTCTGCTGTGGTCATCTGCAAACGATAAACGATAGTTATTACTCAACCGTATTACCTCAATGTGTAATATGTATCTACTTACAAGCAATCACATTAAGATAACGATTCTTCCCCTTATTATCCGGATGCTGCGAATGCTCCGATGGGTATTCATCGTTCAGTGCTTCTCCCTGAATTGCTTCATACTCTTTGCTGAATCCAATGTCACCATCAACATGCAGCGAGGCCACGTGCTTGGTGAATTCAATCACCGGAATTGGTCCCCTCACTTCGCCGGCCACTTCGCAGGGGGCTTCCCAGTCGATCACACCGGCCGTGTTGGTGCCTTGGCAAGCCGGAGGATCGTCAAGATAATAGTATGCGGCGTGGAAACATTTTCTGAAAAAAAGCAAGGAAACAGGGAAAGTTTAGAGTTAGTAGATATTTTGATGATAATAGTAATGGCACAAGCCAAATCTTAGCAATGCGTTGTTTAGCTCAATAGCAATAAAAGAGAAATAGGTTACTGAACATGGTTACTGAACATGGTTACTGAACATGGTTACTGAAATTTCAGATAGATTCAGAGAGTATAATAAAAGCGCCAAAATCCGAATACTACTTGAAATCACTCTGTTTTGATGAAACGTGATTGGCCAGGCAATAGAGCTGATGGTTTGATGCATGAAATCAATTGACATTTTAATTGATCGTAGATATAAATTATTCAACATACACGCTATGACTCAACTACGGCGTAAAAGTGCTTCTCTACATTAAGTACGAACATTTGATGCATGGAAGTATTAAACTATTTAAGGTAGACTTATAGTTGGTGAAACTGGTCAATCATTATAATGCCTGCAAATGCAAGATTCAATGTTGCTCTCTAAAATCAAGACGTACAGCAGCCATCAACCCAACCCGAACGCAATTACAACGGAAGCGGTAGCGGAAATGCCCGATCGGAGTAAACCTGCATGTCGGATAGAAAACATGTTAGAACCAAATCGACTTAAATGATATTCATTTTGATGTCATTTTTGACAAACTGTCATACTTGAGCTCTGCAGATGTCGAGAGAGAAATTAAACTGATGCAGCTACACATACCTATACGACCAGATCGATCGATGATGAAATCAAAGAACTGAAGAGCACTGTTGCTGATATTGTCGATACCCTTGCTAAAGTTAACCAGAAAGCAGCATATTTCGAGCGTTCCGAATGCTGACGCACTAGTCTATTTTTGATCGAATCTCGAGTTTGACAAGATATTTATAAAAAAAAAATGGTTCACCATCATCCCTAGAGCACTGAACCAATATTTGCAGAAGTAAGATTTCAACAATAAAGATTGGAAATTGCGTCGATTTAGGAACCGCTTCGAATATGGTGCCTCCACCGTACCGCATTATTCATCACCCGTATCGTCTCTAAAACTTCTCGATGGTGCTGATGAGATTTTCGACAACGCAAGCGAAAACGAGAAAACATAGAGGAGTGTAGAGGTTTCTCATTGTAATTGACTCATATTGACACATGTGCTACCGAAAACGATATTAGTCAGATGGTACCTCCATAGACAAACAGACATAACACTCGCAAGTTGTTCATAGAACACCCTAGTACCGCCACCTGTGGCACGCATAGTAAATTCCCTTGCGTTTGACGTTTACACACTACCGCCATCTGTTCAGCGTACTGCCCATTACAGTATACTCAACAGATGGCGGTCCTATTTTAGTAACGTTGTTTTATAGTGAAAAATATTCAATGTGTTATGCCTGTTTGTCTGTGGTATCTCGTTCATTAGCTTCATAATGCTGATTACCAAAATTGGTGTAATCCGATCAAGTTTGTGCCAGAAATTGATGCGCTAATGTTAATCAACATCGAAAATCTGTTTACATCATGCTAATAACCATGGGTTTGCGAACGACAGGCTCATCAGCACAAGTGTAAACACCCCATTATCGAATTGCAATGAGGCATGAAAGCTGATGCCAAAGTGGAAAGGCATTAACACGCTGGACTACGTTTCATACAATATCGTGTTGAATAAGAAATGGGAACCTTTAGCAATGACCGCATCTACCTGTCCCAAAAGGTTGAAGTTTGTCAACCGACTTGCCAAGTTTTGGACGTCGATTCAGATTAATGTCGTTTTCGTTTTTGCGGTGTAGCTACACCGGTGCAACACTTTTGCACCGAAACCGTCCGTTTTTGGTTTTGGTGCTACACCGGTGTAACACTTTTTCTGCACCACTACACGATGGTGTAGCACTCGAAAAATTCACGGTGTAGCTATATGTTTATCGCAAAACACCAATACATCCAAAATACATGGTTGTCAAAACTCTCGTTTTCGTCGTGACGCAGCGATTACAGCTGATTACAGTTTTCAATTTTGCAAAAAAAAGAGGTTGGAATGGAAGAACTATTTCGATTGTTTGAATTCTCTTCATCAGATTCAGAGGATGAATATTTTATGATGTTTAATATTCTTAACAAAAGAAGAAAAACATTGCATCGAATGAAAGAATTTCTGGTGGACGTAGTCAATCGTTATTCAGACGAAGAGGTAAGCATATTTTGCTTTTGAGAATAATCAGAATGATGGGTTAAAAGAAAATATAATTATGGTTTGCTGAAGTTGACGATTTTATCCGTCTCTGACAAACGTGCAAACCGGAGCGCCAATCAAATTGAAAAAAAAAAAAATCAGTCGTAAGTTCTGTGTTGGTGGCAACTGAAAGATGAACGGCGACAAGATCAGCATCGCCGAGCTGTGCAAAATCTCTACCACTGCTAACAGTGAGGTCACCGTCGGATGCCCGGTCCCCTATTTGACCTTAGTCCGCTCCCAGCTACCGGACAGTGTTTGTGTTGCTAAAGGTGCCTTTACCGGTTAAACTTCGGCGGCTAACGTAGAGATTAAAGCACTCCGCAGTGAACTACCCGGACCAATTTTAGCGGGCAGTCATTCACAGCTCTATAACCCCCAAACACAATTCAAGAGCATTTTGTAAACGAACCTTTATAGGCCCTTTTCTCATCAACCGAAGGACGCCCACGTAAACCAACAATATCACGGGGAAGGAGAAAGTTTCATTTACCCGATGATGTTGGTTTGCGTGGGCGACCATCGGTTGGCGAAAGCCTACAAATGTTTGTTTACAAAGAACGCACAACAGATCCTGGGAGAAGATGAGTAACAGTCATCCGCGATCGGAACTCTGATGAAACGCATAATTAGTAACGAGTTGGCTTTATGAACATCACTGTTATATCTCTTTCAGAGCCATTTCCTTCATGAATTAGCGTTGTCTTTCCAAGCGGTACGAGAACTACAACTTAAGCAAAATAATACAAAAATATTTTCCACATTCACTTCCTGGTTTTGTGTTGTAGACATAAATATGCCGGTTCTTCTTGATATGCTGTACCGTCATGGTTAACTACCAGGTGGTAATCTTCCAAATTTATCTTAAACCCGGACATTTTCCTGCTCGATAGAAACTACAATTCCACCCGAAACGAAAATAATATTTATCAAGCGGCAGAAAGTTAACAGTGACAGATGGATCTGATATCACACACACCAATAAAGCTACACCGCAAGCGTTCGTTAATTCGGTGCAAAGTGTTGCAGCACACCGGTGTAGTGTAACGCAAAAACGAAAACGACATAATATGCGCTCATATGTTCAAAATTGCGATGCAAACATACAACATGAGAAATGTTCTGTCTTCATCCAGATGCCACCTAGGCCTTTCATTGTGTGCATGTGTGTGTGTGTGTGTATTTTCTGGCCGGCTGTGTTATTATGTAAGAACTCTCTCTACAATGTCGCATTTATGGTTATTGTACACAGCTTTAGTCCGTGAGTTAGAAGGTCATAGCTCTATTGCAGATCAGCAACCCATTTCAGAATGTCTGGAGAGTCACGCCCATTCCGAGGTAACTTTCACTTACAATAAGCCCCGCATAACACATACCTCTATCAATTGGATATTAGCAACAATCAATACGAAACTAACGATTTTAAATTGGTTCACTACTTGACTAGCCTATTGGTCCCAAGCAAACGATTAACGTGCCCCATTCTAGTCGAAATTCTAGTACTACACAATGTTTGTTTTGATTAGCTATGAAAGTTTGACAGATAAAATGAGGGGTTAGTGGATTTTCCTATGTTTCGAGGGGTGGATCGATTAGCTTGGGACCGAAGATAGTACCAGAGATGAGCCAAAAAGTTGAGCTCGTTTCGTCGGGACCTTCTGGTCTTAGAGTTACCTCTATGATATTAGTATTACAAATACACACTTCCTTCAAAATGCACTTTTGAATCCTGGCACGTATTTAGTTTTTTTAATACCATGGTCTCAGTTTTCTCTACGTTTTGCATCTCATTTCGTGATTCACCTTTGTCGTCATAGTTCCTTCAACGAACACACATTGTCTTGCATTGCCATGGTCATCTGGGAGGAGGTTCAAATCTAGTGCTTTCCCCAGGAACCTTTCGCGGTCACCCGTTCAGTCTTGGGCGTATCCAGCGAGGCATCCTTCACATTGCTCGCAATCTCCGACACCGGTGAGAGACCAGCAGCCGAGCACTTTTGCTAGCGGAAAACTTGCTGATTCACGGCAACGTCGGCCACCGAATCACCACCAAAACTCGCGACGGACACATTTTCAGCACGATCCCGGGCTAATTCACCTACCGGACCGGGTTCAAACTCGCCCACGGAGACGAATCTCTCAATAAAACAGAACTACACGTCGAAAATGTGGCATCAAAACTCGGAGAACCGGGCTCCCGTGAGGCAATTTTCGACACCGAACAATGAAACTGAAGCTGCGTCGTAGATTTTGGAGGTTAAATTCAAGGTCAATCGATTCACTCAAGGCAAACACAGGCAAAACACGTTATTTATATCATTAAATGATAACTTTATGAGCACTTGAAACTAAATTTTAGCGCACAAATTAACAAATTTAAAGCAAAAATGTTTAATTCGCTGACGAAAACTACGTAGCAAAAGAAAAACACGTCAGCTTTCAAGCGCGGCTTACTGCGATCCGATCTGCCACCTAGGCCTTTCATTGTGGAATGAAAATATTCAAAATTCAAAAACAAATGTTTCAAAAAGAGTGCTAAGCCGGCGCCGGTGGTGTTGTGGTAAGCGTGACTGCTTTCTAACACCCCGATGGGTCTGGGTTCAATCCCAGCCGAGGTCGGTGGGATTTTTCTGAGGCATAAAAATCTCTGGTGACGTCTTCCTTCGGAAGGGAAGTAAAGCCGTTGGTCCCGGCCCATGTGTGTTGAATGGGTGCGATATCCTACGCAGGTGTGGAAGCTGCCTTCCTTGCACATTCGATTGCCGTCATTGGAT